TTTACGGGATTTAGGGGCGCAAGGCCACCTCGAGAACCACCAAAAGGGTGAGATTATCATAACAAATTAGCCAATGGGCAAGCATCCCACCCTTAAACAAAGGCCTAAAAACACAAGCAGCAAAAAGCGAAGGAAGCGTATGCATTTGGAAGAGTTCATCACCTACCAGCATCCAAAAGAAGCGCACAGCCATTGATCAGTTCTTGCCCTTCTCCTTCATGTCGGAGTGCCGGAACCCCTCCCAGAGCTGCAATGCGGCCGCCGCGCCGAAGTGGCTCTCCGCTGTGGTGGGGGAGGCCACCGCGACGGCTGGGCTGAACAAGAAGGGTATGTGCGGAGCATCCAGTGGAGTAGACAGCCTCTGGAGCTGCTGCTGGTGGTGGTGGTGGCCGGAGAGGTGCGGCTGCGAATTGGACTGAAGGGTCCCCCTAGTGTTGTTGACACCCACAAGACCCGAGCACATGGAGAAGTTGAGACTGTAGTCTACTGCCGGAGCCGACGCTGGCGCCGCATGGACGGGCATGTAGTGGTCTTGCGAGAAGGAGAAGTGCGGCATGTCCGTCTGCGAATCGCCGCCGCCGGCTGATAAGCTGAAGTGCTGCGCCGGGGCCATGGCGACGGGCACAATGTTGCCCAGGTGCGGGGCCGGGGAGGCGAAGGTGTGCAGCATCCCGTGCCCGGATTTCCTTGGCTGGGAGAAGCCGAGGTAGTCCGCGGTGGCAGACGCGGTCATCTGCTGCCACGAGTTGTGCTGCTTGTGCTGAGCAACAGCTGGGGTGGCGGCCGCCAATCCAGTGAGCAGCTCGGTGAAGGAAGCCGCCTGCGCCGAGGGGGCGCGGCGGCGCACGGCGGCGGTGACCGAGTCGTCCTTGTCCTTCACAGAGGCGCTACGGTCGCGCGCGCGCTCCCTGGCCTTGACGCGGCTGTCGGAGCGAGAGAGCGAGAGGACGGAGCCCTTGCTGGTCTCGGACGTGCTGCTGCAGCCCGATCTGGTGAGCTGCTGCTGCTGGAGCTGCGAGCCGTCGGCCTCCGCGTGAAGAGCAGAAGACTGTTTGTTGGCTGAGGCTGAGGCCGGGTGGTTGGGGAAGGCGGCGGCGTCGAGCTCGGGGAGCTTGTCGATTGCGGCGGCGGCGGCCTTGATGAGCCACTCGACGGCCTTGCTGGGCTGGTCGTAGCCAAGGCGATCCTGCAGGTCGTAGAACTGGATGGCGGTGGCGACGGAGAGGCGGACGCGGCGGTCGCGGATGCCCTTGGCCGTGTAGACCTTGCTGTGGCGGTCCTTGCCGCCAGAGCCGCGCGAGACGCGGTAGATCCGCGAGGAGGGGTGCTGCTGGTGCGGCGGCCACGGCACGAGCGCCAGCCGCTTGGCATCCCCGTGGTCCTGCTCCTGGTCGTGGTCCTGGTCCTCGGGGCGGCCCCGCTTGCCGAGCTCCACGGCTGCGGCGGCGACGCTGAGCTCCATCCGGATGTGAATTGGTCCGCCGGCAAGCCGCCGCCAGTGTCTCTCATGCCCTACCCAGAGCGCATTGGTGGCGAAATTAAGCCAGGCAGGCCGCCGCGGGGAGGCGGGGAGTGGGAGGCGAGCGCGTGGGATGGGGGGCACAGATCTGCGCGCGATCCCGTGTGCGCCCTGGGGCGATGGGAGTGGAGTGGAGGGAGCACGGCGCGGCGAGGGAGGGAGGGAGAGAGGGGAGGTGGAGTGTGAGTAGGACGAGAGGAGACGATGGAGGGAGGGAGGGAGGGAAAGGTCTCCCGATTTTATGAGAGAGGAGGAGGGAGGTGTGCGGAACGAGGCGGTAGGGGCGTACCATTCTATCGGCCACACCAGTAGCGAGTAGCCCATCACTCTCTCGCGCCGCGCCGCAGCGTCATCGGCTAGGCTAGTCGGCCGCCGCCGTAGTACCAGCAACAGCCTAGCAAGCAGCAGCGGGAGCGCGTCGCATCGTATCGGCACATACTGCTCCTACGTACTCCCTCCGTCGGTCAATCCATGTCCGATGGCAACTGGCTCGCTCGCTGTCAGACGTTCATCACGGCGACGACGGGAGCCCTCCAACCGGTCCAAGGTCTCTCTCTCTCCGTTCCGTGCCGGCATCAGTGGAACAAACAAACGTTAGCCGTATCCTGGAAATGCCCATGACGTCTCTGTCGCGACCTCCTCCTTTGAAGATTTTTTTTTAGAGTACGCCTTTACCTTATCTTTATAGAAGAAAAGAAAAAATTGTATAAGACTTCGCGGTTGGACGAAGAAGCCTACCACAAAAATGCTTACTCCTAAAAAAAACACAAAAGCCTACTCTCTCACGAAAGGATCTAACCCCTCAACTCCTAGGCCCGCCTTCTTCCAAAGCTTGATCTCGTCATGTATGAGATGAACAAGGTTGGTCTCCGAGCGGACTTGATCATTGCGGTTGAACACCCGAGCGTTCCTCTGCTTCCATAAGTGCCACGCGGTCAGGATGACAAGCGAATCAAAACCTCTCTTGAGCTTTCCATGGAAGAACTTCCGCGCCTTGTCCCACCACACCATGAAAGTATCCTCGGAGCTTGGAATTTGGACGTTGATTTGAAGCAGCCGGAAACAGCCATTCCAAACTTGTCTCGCGTAGACGCATCCGGCGAGGATATGGTCTGTTGTGTCCTCCTCTTGGTAGCATGTGTAACATGCAGAAGCCGTATCTTGGAGACCATGCCTCGCACGTCGGTCCGAAGTCCATAACCGATACTGAGAGGCAAGCCATGCAAAGATTTTGCATTTGAGGGGCGCCCAACTTCTCCATATGCATTGGGCAGCGGCAAACCGAGTCATGCCCTGGCAAAGCATACTATAAGTGGATTTAGTGCTATAGGAACCCGAGGCACTCCAGGGCCAGTAGAAAGCATCATCGTCCGAAGCATTCCTTTGGATCGTCGCCAAGGCATGCTGCAAGTGTATGAGCTGCAGGTGGGCCGTGAAGTATAGCTCGCCCGTGATATCATTGACCCAGGAGTCCTCGAAAAGCGCATCCCGGACTGTTCTTTTTCTCTTCGTGAGCTTGTCCACCATGCCGGTGATCAAAGGGGCGATATCTTTTGCCGCAAACCCGTGAATCCATCTGTCCGTCCAAAAGAAGATCTTGCTGCCCTCTCCAACCTCGATGTGGACCAGACTGTCGAACACCGCTTTGGCTTCTTTGTCCACCATGAGATGTAGCCATTGCCAAGGCCTTGAGGAATTTGTCCTCCTGAGCCACTCCCAGCGAACGCGCATGGCCAGGCCTTGAGTCCTCAGGTTCTTGACTCCCAGCCCACCGTACGGCTTAGGCCTACAGATGGTATGCCACGCAACCAAGCATTGTCCGCCATTGATCTCCTCTTTCCCAGCCCAGAAAAAAGCACGCATCCACTTGTCCACTTCTTCGAGGACCCATTGGGGCGCTTTCATGACTAGCAAATGATGTATGGGGCGGGCTGCTATGACGCTGTTAACGAGCACTAGTCTCCCGGGTCTCTGAATCATGCCACGTTGCCAAGTTGGAAGGAAGCTTTTGACCTGATCAAGCATTGGCTGCCAATGCACTTTGGAGAGCTTGTGGATGCTAAGTTGCAACCCTAAGTATTTGCAAGGGAACTGCCCCATATGACAGTTTAACAGCTGCTGCACTCTGTCCTGATCCCCTTGCTGTCCCCGGATCAAAATTGTCGATGTTTTGCGATAGTTCACTCGAAGGCCAGAAGCGTGTCCAAAGAGGTATAAGACTTCTTTAATGCAAGTGAGATCCGGCTCCGTGGGGGGCACGAAAAGCGCGACGTCATCAACGAAAAGAGAGAGCCTCTGGCTTGCCAACACACCGTTGAAGGAGGACAAAACCCCCACTGCAGCAGCCTTGCAAACTAAGGCCGAGAGGACGCCCATCGCCATGACAAAGAGGAGCGGTGAGCTGGGGTCTCCTTGGCGCAGCCCACGAGCGTGATCAAACCTGACACCTTGATTCCCGTTGACAATGACTCTTGAAGACGCAGACTGCAGCAAGATCGCAACCCACTTTCTGAAGTTTTCTCCAAATCCCTTAGCTCTCAAAACTTCAAACATGAACGTCCAAGAGATGGTGTCAAATGCCCGTGATATGTCAAGCTTCAGAAAGACGGTTGATGTTTTGCGGGCATGCATTTTTCTCGCCATTTGCTTCACTAGGAGGAAATTATCGTGTAAGCTTCTCCCACGGATGAAGGCGGACTGGTTCATGCTGACTAGTTCCGGAAGCATTTTCCTCATTCTGATGGCCATCATTTTGGAGAAGAGTTTGCCAAAGCTATGAGGCAAGCTGATCGGGCGATAATCACCCACTTCCTCCGCGTCACTTCTCTTAGGAATGAGTACCATCAGAGCTATGTTTAATTTCGCGAAGCCCCGACCATCTCCCACATACAGTTTCAGGAAGCCGGCCATGATATCGCCCTTGATGATGGGCCAGGCTTTTTGGTAAAAAGCACCGGTGAATCCATCCGGCCCAGGAGCCCGATCCGGTGGTATCTCCTTAATCATCTTCCACACCTCATCTTCGGTGAAGATTTCCTCGAGCTCCTGCAGATCAGTAGTGTGCAAACCGAGGGCATCCAAGTCAAGTGTGAATTCGCGCGCCTGATCTCTCCCCAAAAGCTCCATAAAGGAAGAAGTGAAAGCATCCGCTATACGGTCTTGATCGGTGTGTATCTCGTCTCCAACCTTGATTCGTGGAATGAAGTTTTTGGTTCTCCGGCCGTTTGCAAAAGCTTGGAATAACTTTGTGTTGGCATCACCTTCCCTAACCCACCTCATTCTGGAACATTGACGTTTAATGGTCCGCTCAAGGGAAGCCATACCCAACAACGTCAGCTTGAGAGTACGACGCAGCCAGAGCTCCTGGTCGGTGAGAATGCGGTCTTCCCGGGCCCTGTCGAATCTGCAGATCACATAAGTTGCCACTGCCATGAGTAACTTGATGTTTCCAGTCGTTCTCTGTCCCCAAGACTGCAGGGACTCTGCAGCATTTCTGAAGAGCGCGTCGATACGCTTGAAAGGATCCACAATCGTATCGCTACAGACCCATGCCTCTCTTATCGCATCCTCGCACCCTTCGAGCTTAAGCCAGTAATTCTCAAAGCGGAATCTCTTTTTAGGACAGAAAAGAGCTCCCGTGTTCAGGTGGAATGGAGCATGATCAAATACGCCCGAGGATAACGCTTCCAAGAGACAGTACGGATACTCCAAGTCCCAATCCACGGAAACCAGCACCCTATCAATCTTGGTTAGGGTAGGGACATCTCTCTCGTTCGACCAAGTGAATCTCCTCCCATGCATGTATACTTCTTTGAGCTCATTGTTGTCTATAAAGCTGCGGAACTTGTTTATCATGCTCCTGTTCAGGTTCGAGTTATTCTTCTCCGAGGCACGCAGAATCATGTTAAAATCGCCATGAATCATCCACGGTCCAGGCCTGAGCGCTCGCGCTGCATGAAGCTCCTCCAGAAATGCAGTTTTCCTAGTGTTTCCTTGCGGTCCATAGACCGCGGAAATCCACCAGGATGCCCCATGTCTCGTAAGAACACGCCCCGAGATAAAATCAGTGTTTGCGTGGAACTGATCAATGTCAATGCAAGTCGAATCCCAAGCGATGAGAACTCCACCTCTTGTAACTTCCGCGGACAGAAAAGCAAAGCCATCGAAGGCCGGCCCGAGGCATTGCAACACAGTGTAACGGTCAATGACTTCCATCTTAGTTTCTTGCAGACAAATTACATTCACTTTCACGGTGGCAACGAACGCCCTAATTTCATCTCTCTTCGCTGGGTTGTTTAATCCTCTCACGTTCGAACATAGGATCGATGGGCTAAAATCCATGGAAGAATTCGCAACCACTCCCTCTGGACATTGCTCAACGCTAATGTACTCCCAAGGCCGTCGAGCTTACCCCTCCAAGATCTCCACCAATTGGCATGGTCTTCCCAAAGAGTGAGGCAATGACTCGGATGTGCTACTCTCTGAGCAGCGAGTCGAACGGTCCTTTTAGATCCTCCATCATTTGCTCATCCACCTGCAGATCATGCGGCGCCCAGCTGAGCGCACGAAGCAGCACATTCTCAGCTGGGGTGGCTTTGACGAGGCTGCTCCCCCAGCCTTTTTCGTGGCTCTCATAGTGCGCCTCGGCGTGAACGGCTATGCGTCTGGTCGAAGCGTGGAGGCTTGCACCTCCTTAAGCAGGGGCGGGGCAAGCTTCTTGACGATGTTGACGCAGAATGCTTTGAGCTTGGAGTAAGCGATTGCTTCGGGAGGCGTCATTCCCTCCATGGCAGCGGCCTCATCCGGGGGGGGTCAGGACCCAGCACGGCACCATCCCCTCCTAGCATGCTTGCGCTCATCACAATTAAGTCTGTGCAAGGCATGCACGCAGGCTCTTTGCACGTAGACTCCTCCATGTGAACAGGAGTTGCATGGCTCCTCTCGTCGATGATTGGCGTGGAATCTTCTCTCTGATCCTTGTGTCCCACGTTGGTCTCGCAATCATTAGTAGTCACAGGCTGGCTCTCAGAATTGATTGGCGTGGACTCCTCTCTCTGAACCTCGTGTTCCACGCTGGTCTCGCAATCATTGGCGTTCTCTGGCTGGCTGGGTTGGTCAGGTGCCAGATCCGAGGCAATCATGGCGTGGTCCGGAATCGCGGCCTCCCCACCAATCTGGTTTCCCCCATCAACAGGCACGTGGGCCGACACGACTAGACTCATGGCCCCGGGAGACAGCGACGCAGTGTTGGGACCCGGCCCGCTTGGCGGGACCCCATCGACCACGTGCTCCCTAGAAGCTTCGTGGTAGCGCGTGGGGGAGGC